GCCGTTTTCATGTTTGAGGAGCGCAGTGCCACCAATTTCATGGCGGACGTCATTGAAGCCCACGAATGCGCGAATGGCTGCGTGGAGACGATTACTGGCGACGGATTGCGGCGGGGAATGAACGAATGGCGGTTCTGGACCCGCCAATCGTCCATTACGACAGTAATTCGCCTTCTGAACGGACGCTTTGTGACGCAAATCGCCCGGATACGGGAACTTGGATTCGTAAATCGTCGTGTGCCACGTTATCCGGACGAATAATGCGTTCATCCGCCCCGATAATTCGTCCGTGTGGGCGAATAAACAGCTCATTTTAGACCCCCACCCGCCAAAAACGCCGGTTTCCTCAATAGCTCCTAAACGGCCCACGAAATGTCAGAGTTTTAGCCAATCCAACGACCACATTGTTTCCTACGCGTTGTCATTTGCTATTTATCTTACCACTATTCACAATAACAACCAATCAACGATGTTTTTGTCTTTCATGGCGCTCTCATTGGCCAAAAGTTGGTGCGTCGTCGTGGTAGACCATGACGGAGCAGGACTAAACAATGACCACTGCAATCAATGAACCCCCATGCATGTCCAATCATCGTATACAACGTCTTGAAGCCCAGTTCTGTACGAGACGTAAAAGACGACGTGATGCTGCACTAGTCGTACGTACATTTTCTCTGTGTATTTATCTGGTACAAGGTTTGCCGTTATCAGTAGTCGATTTTTTACCTGTCGAGTTACTCGTGGTTGACGTTTGTCGAAGGAGGTGGCGCTGGAGAAGCCGTCGCAGTCGCATGTGTTCGCAAAGAGCGTCGAGGAGCTGAGCGTTCTTGCGCCTCGCTCGCTGGAGCGCCATGCCTTCGGCTTTTGCCAGAGCATACATGGCATTGTTGGACGGACGTCGGACCTTCCGGTGGCGGCGCTGGAGCTCCGCCAGATGCGACTGAAGCGCCGTGATCGTGAGCTCGAGCTCGAGCGCGCGGTTACGTCGGCGTCGGCGGTGCATGGCTGCTGGTGCGCGATCTTTCGGGGCGTCCGCGATGAACGACGAGAGGTCGTCCGATGACGCGGAAACGAGATCGTCCGAGTCCCAGTTGTCCAAGTTGGGTAGTCGCACTGGCAACACGTCCGGCAAGTGTGTGAGCGCTGCTGAATGCATCAGAGTAAAACAATAGAACACGAGGGATGTCTCTCGCAAGGAGAAACTGCAAATGGCAAACTCATGGAGCGAATCCAAAGAATTCATTTTGTCTCGCATTGCTGGCTGCTGTGCGAACGTAGGTGTACAACGTACCAGTTGCAACACAGCCCATGGATCTTGCTTTGCCCTCTGCATCGTTGGCACCACGATTGCAGCCACGATTACCACAGTAAGCGCTTTTAATTCGTAAAAATGGTGGCCTTTGGTCGCGACGTCGCCGAGGCGCCTTGTAAAAATGGCGATCCAAAAGGCGTCTCGATCCGTGCAAGGATCGTTTGAGCGTGTAACACGGTGCTCGAAATCTTTTGAAAAACGCGTATTTTGCATGTCCTTCGATGTAGTTAGTACATGGCGCTATTGGGATTTTTGCGGCATTTATGCAGAAAACAAAACTCGTTTTTCGATAGATTTTTTCACCAGTGCTACTTCGTAGCGTCGTTGAAAAGGGCATCGAACAGCACCGAGATCTGCCCCTAAAACACGCTAAACGGTGAGGTATTATGTACGAAGTTGGCCAGCGTGATCCGCAGTAGCGCCTGTCCACTTTGGAATGATGGTCGAGAGTGATGGTTCTGATGGACATCTGCTTTTGTTGGGCGTTGGCTGGTGAAAATGATTTGGTCACCACGGCAATACTGTACGCGTACGAGGTGGAGTCCAAGTTTTAGTGCAGCTCGATTTTCCGTAGTGGCGTACAGCCATGTCAAGCTCGCCCAGTACAGGTAAAGAGTCTGGTCAAATTGACTCAAGGAATTCCTGAGGACTGGAAAAGGGGTAAAAATGCCTAAATCACGTTGTAAAGGGAGCACCAACCGACGATTGCGACCCAACGCTCTTATCGATCCTCACACCGCACGACGCCCAGCTTTATTCTACGCTAACGACCGATGACCTGTTCTTTTTCCATCTCGATTGCTCCCGAGGCGCCCCGTTTTTAGGCCGCACCTAGATCACGTTGCCGATCGTCCTGCACCGCGACCTCCAGTCGTTGACGCCACCTCGGTCGCTGGCGTCTCTCGAGGGCCTCAACACACTGCGTAGCTTTGCCGCCGACGTCAAAGCCTGGAGGGCCTTTACACAGCGAGTCGTCATGGGCCTCACCCGCGGCCCCCGGACGACTTCAGAAGATCAAGACGAGCCCCGCGCCCCCGCCTGCGCAGCCACGGCCCGGCGAACGAATGAAGAAGGAGATTGCTAGACTCTACGTATGCGAACTCTTTGTGACAACGAAGATGACGCGAAACACGTTCATATATAAATCCGTCTTGCACCGAACGCCAGACAAAGGAAGGCCGTAGTCCCGAACACCAGCGTGCGTACTTGCAGGCAAACAAATAACTAACGCTAACTGACTCCTGGAGCTCTGGCCACAGGCTCCTATACAGTCCCATCCTGACGGTTTTTCGGTAGGACTATCTTACTGATAGATTGATACCAACACATCGCCGTGTCTCGCACTGTAGAGCTGTGCAGACACAAATATCCAGTGCTCAACCACTGAATGAGGCGTCTACTGCGCCGGTTACAGTATCGCCAGCACGAAAGCAGGGCTCGGCAAGATCACCAGTATATTCAAGACCAGTTGCACAGCGCTACAAGTTCAATGACCATAGATCGCGCAGACCCAACACAACACTCGACACAACACAACACGACACACTCGACGCCCAATGCCCTGTGGTTAGAAGTGTTGGCTCACAACAATCGTCGATACCTTTCCGTGCGACCCCAACCAAGGGTAAATAAAAACTGCTTGAACCTAGTCTCTGACCCCAACAAAGCCTTCCGATATTGGATTTGGATGTAAAAAGCTTTGCCGAATGTTCATTACGTCGTGTCGCCTTGATGCTCATCGCGTCTTCCAGGACCTGACAGCTTACCACTTGTTGCGCAACTCGTTCGTGAAGAGCGAAACGAGCTCGACCCACGCCTGCGTGAACGGATACTTGGCAAGAATGTCCTTGCCGATAACCTTGACGCGCTCGAACACAACTGCGTCTTCCTTGGAAGGCTTGGCGCCGTTCAAAAAGTTCGTTTGCGCGCCCTGGAGCTTGGCCTCGACAGCTTCAATCGTAAAGTTGGCCGTCGTGATCGCGCCCGACGCAGGCTTGGCGACCTGCTCGTCCGGCTTCATGGCCGGGAACAGCAGCACTTCCTTGATGTTGAACTTGTTGGTCAAGAACATGGCAATGCGGTCGACGCCGCAGCCCCAGCCACCCGTCGGCGGAAGGCCGTACTCCATAGCTGTGCAGAACGACTCGTCGTGGGGTTGAGCTTCGTCATC